TGAATGTGTTTTCAAACTAAAAACTAGTGTTTTAGACTGTATTCATAACACTGTGTATTTATTGTTTGTTTGTAATTAAGCACAAAGCTATACAATGGGCTATTTGTGCTCTGCCCACCACGGGCATCGAAACCCGGATTCTAGCATTGTAAGTCCGCAGACATGCCGCTGTGCCTCTGGGAGAGGCCAATGTATTTACCTTAAATACTTGTAAAACATCTTTAGTAGCATTAAAATAAAGTTTTATTTGATCTTAAAAGGTATGTATAATTTTTTACGGAATTATTAAATAAACTGAATTGTGATATACAATAAACCATTTTTTTTATATATAACGTTTACGTTTATCCGTACTTTGATTCATCAGTATATGTGTATATATGTAATAAACGGAACAATTTTAACGCCTTATAGATAGTTATAAAATGATCAAGATTTTGTTTTGCTTCATAGAGATATTTCATGCAAAGAATAGTGTAAGTAACGTATTAAGTTTCAGTCAGTAATCAAGATTACATCATTTTATTTTAAAGCTTGATATGATAATATTCTAACGGTTCACAGTTTTTAAAACGCTCAGTACATTAAGGCTTTGAAAACTTGTCACAAATCGAGTATGTTTGACAGTTCTGTATGTTTTTAAACTGTATTGACGTTTTACGTGCTTATGTTATAAGGAGTTAGATTAGTGTTGAATGGTTGTTAACATGGCGTTAAATATGAACCAGTTATTCCACTAGGTTTCTCATAATATCGTTTAAAGAATATAACCTAAAGAACTTGAGATGACAAGCATTGAAAAACTGTATTGACGTTTTACGTGCTTATGTTATAAGGTGTTAGATTAGTGTTGAATGGTTGTTAACATGGCGTTAAATATGAACCAGTTATTCCACTAGGTTTCTCATAATATCGTTTAAAGAATATAACCTAAAGAACTTGAGATGACAAGCATTGAAAAACTGTATTGACGTTTTACGTGCTTATGTTATAAGGTGTTAGATTAGTGTTGAATGGTTGTTAACATGGCGTTAAATATGAACCAATTATTCCACTAGGTTTCTCATAAGATCGTTTAAAGAATATAACCTAAAGAACTTGAGATGACAAGCATTGAAGTAAGTTAAAAATTGCCTCTTAACATATGAGAACAATAGACACAATAAACCTTTTTCTACATTGTACCTTTGATTAGAAGGAAGCATTAATATCACTTTTGACCACTACAAAGTTCCAGGAAGTCTGCAAGGCTGATTGAAAGAATAACATAATTTTGTCAATGATTTGTTGTTAGTTGAATAAGTCTATACTTTTATGGTATGTACAGCTACTTTGTTACAAAAGTGTATTTTATTATACGAGTTTACAGTTTTTATTCTTTCCGGTGTGTATGATTTCTTTAGTATACGGGTTTACAGTGTTTCTTCTGTTTGGTGTGTATGATTACTTTAGTATATGAGTTGACAGTGTTTCTTCTGTTTGGTGTATGATTACTTTAGTATATGAGTTGACAGTGTTTCTTCTTTTCGGTGTGTATAATTACTTTAGTATACAGGTTTACAGTGTTTCCTCTGTTTGGTGTGTACAGCTTCTTCAGAAGATAGATTTGGTTTGTTTGTTTCTCTGTTTGGTGTATGATTACTTTAGTATATGAGTTGACAGTGTTTCTTCTTTTCGGTGTGTATAATTACTTTAGTATACAGGTTTACAGTGTTTCTTCTGTTTGGTGTGTACAGCTTCTTAAGAAGATAGATTTGGTTTGTTTGTTTCTCTGTTTGGTGTATGCAGTTACTTTAGTATACAGGTTTACAGTCCTTTCTCTGTTTAGTGTGTACAACTCTGTAGTATACAACTTCACATGTTTTTATTTGATATGTACAATTATTTTAGTATACAGGTTTACAGTTCTTTCTCTATATGATGTGTACAGTTTCTTAAGAAGACAAATTTAATTTGTTTGTTTTTCTGTCTGGTGTGTACTGCTACCTTAGTATACAGGTTTATAGTTATTTTTCTGTTTGGTGCGTACAATTATTTTAGTATACAACTTTATAGTATTTTTCTGATTGTTTAACAACAACTAAGAAGGTATTGAATGCTCTTTTCTAAACATTTTTCTTTCAACTGTTTCAGTGTTATTAACTTTTCAAACTCTCCTCTCATGGCAAGTTTATGAATATAATTATAGAAAATGCGTCTGTGACCTTACTAAGTAAGGTCATATTTATCTGTTTTTGTTTTTAAACAATTTTGGATCATATTGACCAACTTCATTAACCTTTTTTAATATTCCCTTCACTGTATCCTAATTTTTTATTTCTCTTTGTCTTAATATACACAATGTTTACTTAGAAGCTAGCCTAAGGGAAACTAGCCTTATTAGCAATCTAATATTTTTTGGTATTGCTTTTATCTTATTCTGAAATTAGTTCTATTTACTTCTGTCTTTAATTGGTTATACTTTAATTGCAGATCTCCACAAACCCAATAAAAATTAGCAAAAATACAAGAGTAACATTGACAACATGTAATAAAACAGCCTTATTTCTTTAACCAAAACTTCATCCAGTTTGCATATAAGTACATTCATGCACATCATGTAGCTGTTCAATTTTATCTAATCACCATTCAAATATCATAAAACCCTTGACTTCGTCTTTGGGGCCCACTCAAGACCTTCCGATGTTCTAAACGTTAGGTTCTAGGGGATTTTAGAGTGCTAAATTCAAATCGAATTGTAAGAAGTTGTGGGAATTAAAAAATCAAGTAAACGTAGAGGACACGAACATACCAATGCTTTTTTTTGTTCAATGTCTTCAAAAATGGTCGTTCTTGTCTCTTCTTCATCCTAAGATGATACATGTAATGTTTTATAGGGATTTTATAGTAACAATTGTAAATAAAATGCTGAAGCACAAAAAATGTGAGATAAAGTATTTTAGTTTTCGATTTATTTTCATATATTCTTAATTACCTATCAAATTGTAAATCCCATTAATATTGGATTGTCCTTATTACTGTTGTGGGTTTAGCTGTGCACATCCTGGTAATTCAACGTCAACGTTTCTCACACTTGGGTGCTCACGAAAGCCTGTAGAACCGTGTCCTGCTGAATTCATCAAAAGCACGGTTTCAGTCTTGAAACAGTGATCAAAGCTTACAGGATTTCTACGGATTGTTATCTCTGTGCAAAACAGAAACTCCTCTGTGCATAGCATTTCCTGTCATTGTTGTTCTGATAAAATAAGTAGCGCGTTATACTCTTGAGTGGTACGATAAATAACATAAAAATTATTGATTTTTTATTCATAATGCTTGTTTTTGCTTCTTTCTTTTTCTAATTCCATGTATTACAGTTTCATAATAAAGCAAAAACCCACATTTTAATTATATTTTTATCGTCTTTATATAAAATCTGACTTATATTAATTTAATTGGAAATGTTTACCAGACGTGTATGTGTATACGCACACACACACACACATATATGTATATGTATGTATATACTATTTTCTATAGCTATGTTTCTGTTTTCTTTTCACCATGTCAGCCTGCTTTTTTTCTAACTTAAATATAATCGTACCCGTTGCTCCTCTTGGAGTAGTACAAACAGTTCAGTT